GCTTATTTAACTTATATGCAGAATACATCATGCGGAAGGCTGGACTGGAGGAATCCCAAACCGGAATTAAGATTGCCGAAAGAAATATCAACAGCCTTTGATATGCAGATGATACCACTCTGATGGCAGAAAGTGAGGAGGAATTAAGGAACCTTGTAATGAGAGTGAAAGAGGAGAGTGCAAAAAACGGTCTGAAGCTCAACATCAAAAAAACTAAGATCATGGCCACTGGTCCCATCACCTCCTGGCAAATTGAAGGGGAAGATATTGAGGCAGTGTCAGATTTTATCTTCCTGGGCTCCATGATCACTGCAGATGGACACAGCAGCCACGAAATTAAAAGACGCCTGCTTCATGGGAGGAAAGCGATGACAAATCTTGACAGCATCTTAATGAGGCCATGGCAGATTTTATCTTCCTGGGCTCCATGATCACTGCAGATGGAGACAGCAGCCACAAAATTAAAAGGCGCCTTCTTCTTGGGAGGAAAGCGATGACAAACCTTGACAGCATCTTAAAAAGCAGAGACATCACCTTGCCAACAAAAGTCCGAATAGTCAAAGCTATGGTTTTTCCTGTAGTGTTGTATGGAAGTGAGAGCTGGACCATGAAGAAAGCTGACCGCCGAAGAATTGATGCCTTTGAATTGTGGTGCTGGAGGAGACTCTTGAGAGTCCCCTGGACTGCAAAGAGAACAAACTTATCAATTCTTAAGGAAATCAACCCTGAGTGCTCACTGGAAGGACAGATCCTGAAGCTGAGGCTCCAGTACTTTGGCCATCTCATGAGAAGAGAAGATTCCTTGGAAAAAACCTTGATGTTAGGAAAGTGCAATGGCAAGAGGAGAAGGGGATGACCGAGGATGAGATGGCTGGACAGTGTCTGCGAAGCAACCAACATGAATTTGACACAACTCCGGGAGGCAGTGGAAGATAGGAGGGCCTGGCTTGCTCTGGTCCATGGGGTCATGAAGAGTCGGACCCGACTAAACGACTAAACAACAACGACGTTGTTCCGAAAGTATTAAGTTCTCCACAAAACACAAATAAAACAATATGGGAAAATAGAACAATGACTTCCATCCAGTGCAACTTCTTACTACAAGGAGAAAGTGTAACTCTTTCATTTCTCTCTTTCCTGTAATTGGTGGAAACAGGAACTCTAACAGAAAAAAGCGCTAAGTATTTGCCTCTGTATCTAGCTGTGGTGTCACATCATTTAACAGACTAATCAACAACACTGGGAGAAGCAAATGGATCTACTCAGAAAAGCCATGTGCTGTCCAGAAATGTGCAGGCACTAGAGGGGAAAGAATAAGAATAGTGCTGTGTGGGCTATAACTATTTTTCTACTCAGAAATAGATAGTGAAAGTACAATTTAATGACTAGGACAAAGTTCAACAGATATATCTGAGAAAACGTCCCAGTCTTTTTAAATTGGATAGCTGGATTATACTTCCAGTTCTTTTAAGCTACTGCAAGACAACCATAAAAGAGCAGGAGCATTTAATTCAGCAAGAAAACAATTGAAAGAAAAGGATTTGAAATTTTAGCTCTGCTCTCTGCTTTGTAGCACAGCAGCTACTCAGACACAAACCTAATGCAAACATCGCCAATGCACATCCTGACAGTGGAAAGAAGCAGGCTACTTTCAAAGAGAAAATGATTTTTTTTCTTTTGTAATAATAAGCAGGAAAAGATAATGAAAAAGATTAGAGGAGGGATCTGTATAGAACAAAGATATGTTTGGTTTCCGTCTAGAAGTTTTTATTGAAAGCATTTTAGTGGAGTGGGTCAATTTTTAATGAGACTTCCTCATCTGATTCCCAACTGTGTTTGTGTAATATATTTAGACTCTTTAAAAAAGATCTTGTACAATCTTTGAGAAAAAAAAAAGGCTGGTGAATACACGATATGTGGATTTTCAAAAGCACCCATTCTTGCTAAACGGTTCCTTCTGAGTTCCATCTTGACTTTCCATGCTCTTTAAAGTCTTGATAGAGCCCTTGAAGAAGTGCCACCAAGAACTGGGAGTGATGTGATGATACTCAGTTGGGGTTCTGTTTGTTATCCGAGGCTGGTAAGACTGAAGCAGTGCCTCGATGCCGAAACAAGACAGCATAAGGGATAATAAACAGAAGCGTGTCATCAACCCACTGAACTCATGGGATCTCACTCCAAATTCCTTATACTGTAGCATCATTTCATGTGGATGTTAATGAACATAGAAGATAAGAAACAGAACCATTCAAATGACGACTTCCACTCTGGTCAGCCTACTTGGGATGTGGCTACATTCTACTTTTATAGAATAATCATACAATCATAGAATAATAATTTAGCTGGAAGGGGCCTATAAGGCCATCAAGTCCGACCCACTGATCGATGCAGGAATCCAAATCAAAGCAGACCTGGCAAGTATTTGTACAATTTTTTTCTTGAGTGCCTCCAGTCTAAGAGCGCTCACCACCTCCCAAGGTAATTGGTTCCATTGTTGTACTACTCTAACAGTTAAGAAGAAGTGCTGTTTGGGTTTTTTCCTAGATTCATTTTTTTTTACTGGAGACCAGTGTGTGGCCTTGCTGGCATGAAGTGCCTTTGACCAGCTTTACCAGTTTCACCAAGCTGCTTCTAAACACAGATAATCTGGTGATAATGTACAGTATAAATGTTAGGATCTTCATTGGATTATTACAATACTTAACATAAAGGGTACCCTTGAAAGTCAACTTGGAAGTTTCAGCTGATGCAGAATATTGCTACTCAAGAGTCACCTCATAAAGCCAAGTTCATGAATAGTACATTATCCACGGGTTCCCCATTTCAATCTAGGAATCTGTCCATTTCTCATCTCACCTTTTTCAACCTTAAATGGAATTTGTCTGGCTTCTGCATCAGTCTAATTTTTTTATTTTAACAAAGAACATTCATATGCATTTTATGCACATACTTTCTGATACAGACATTTGTGAAAGCAACTTTAAATACTACTACACATTGTTCTCATTAATATATCCATATGACATATTAATGTATGCATGCTTATATGGATTTTTTCAATTGGAAAACTTTAAAAAAAGTCTAGAAAAGTTTGAGTTAAAATAAGAAACCAAAAAAAATCCAAATACATCCCTATTTCTGGAGTTAATTCAGTATGATGGTACTTATGCTTAGAGCGCTAAAAAGCTGTCTTCCTATATAATACTACTGGTTTTGGGGGGGGGGGAAGCACAGTAACCAACAGGGGAAAAGTGGTTTATCAATAACGGCATAATCACTATGAAGTGTCTTCCTTAGAGTTCCAGGCTGATAGTCTTCTTTCACATGATGAACTCATCAAGTATAAATAATGTGGTATTTCCAGTATTTACACAACTGACTACCATCCATATAATCCAAATATTTCAGGAATGAAGAAAATATTTAAGTTCAGTCAGTCTACACCAGGTAGTCTTGACGTTGGATTTGTCATTGCCAATATATAAAACATAGGAATACAGTAATTCTATAAACTATCTTCAGTCAACTGAGGAGTGTCATATTAAATAAACAGTGAAGTTCAAGAGCATATACCCTTTGATAAACTCGGCTAATTCTAGCAACAAAAATGCTACATCAAATCATTACAGAAAAACACAAAGGAAAAGAAAAACAACAGCATAGCAATGCAGTGCAGGAGAGAATCCTGTAAAGGAGTATCTCCAGGCAGACTTAACACATCAAAACAGACAAATGATTCAACTTGCGTGACAGAGTTACTAATGTGATTTTCTATGCCGAAACAAAGGAAACAGGGCAAGAAGAGATAGACATGATTTTCCACCTCAAACAGCAGCTAGACAAACGAGTTAGAATAGCATTTTTCATTTTTGTGTCTGTATCACCTGAATTAGCATGGAACCTTTGAGGAGGCTCAAAGAAGAGGTACCCGAATAACTGGGAGAAAAGAAATCATCAAAGGTATTTTGTTTTCAGTCTGCTAAGCCTGTTGAATCTCAGTTATCAGGTTTCCTGATTGCAAAATGGGAAAATGATCACTACAAAGAACACTTTAACAAACAAGACATATAACTTAAAGGAAAGGTCCAAAACTTTCACACTGGATGTAAGTTAGTACATTTAATACTAGAGAGAGTCAATTCTGTTCCAGTTGAAAGAGTTTCAAACAATTCTGCATCGAGGTTTCACATCCTTTTGTGCATAAACAGGGGGAAGAAAGGGTCACTAAACGAAATCATTCCCAGTGAATGGTCTCAGTGAGCGGGAAACATTTTTTTTTTTACCAAACAAGTGTGAGTTTATCAGAAGTATAATCCATTATGACTAGAACAGAATTATCATAAACCTTTTAGAGCTATTCTTTCTGTCAAGTGGAAATTTTAGTTATTAGTTCTATTGTGCCAAGGACAGACCAGTCTTTTCCAGACACTTACCCTCTGACAGCATGAATAAGTCTCAGTGATGGATAGGCAGTTCGCACTTTCAATTTATTCTTAAGGATTAATGCATTAACCCACTCCACATGCTTCTCTCCTCCTTTGACCATGAAAGCAGGGATCCAAAGGACACTGTCATTCAGCATGGATAGTCTATGCACAAATTTTTCTCTGTCACTCTCATTCCGAAAGCCTCCAAATGCTCTTTGTACAACTGATGGGTTCATGGTAATAAAATCTGATTTAGTTCCCACATCGGCAGCAAACTCCACCACAGGAGCTAGATTGCACCTGAAGAGGAAGAGATTAATGGAAAAAATAAAAATAAATATGAAACATTAACTCAGATGAAAAGATGTGCATGAAATTAAGGCTGGAAATGAGTGTGCAAGCAGGTGAGCAAAGGTACCAGAAACATCCTGTATGGTTTAGCATAGCACTGTACTTCTAAAATCGTAGATGTGTTAGTCTCTTTTGGCAGAAATGGCAAAGAATCCTAGACCGTCTTTAAAAATAACTAGTTTTATTGGCTCAAGCTTTCATAGACTGTTACTCCATTTAGGTGAGTGCAGTATGAGAAATGTAATAGAAATGCAGAAGAGCAAACATGGTGATGGCCTTTTCTAGCTTTATTATATGTCTTCTGCATTTTGCATTTCTATTACAGTTCACATTCCCATCTCCCTGTGTTTGTATAAATCACTATTATACTTCTGTATCTGAAGATGTGTGCGACCAGTTAAAAACTGTGCCAAAGAAAGCTTTCTAGTCTTTATGATACCATTTGACTCATTGGCCTTTCTCTTGTAGATATTGTGATATAGACACTCCGAGCCACCTAAAATATATTGGGTGGAATCCAGGGGCACTGTAAATCTTACTGAAATCACCAAGGTCACAACCAAGTAGTGGACACTGAAGTCATTTTCCAATAAGCTTATTTACTCAGAGAATGAACCATTGACCTAAAACACATAACTTGGCCACTTAAATCTGATTTCCAAAAGATCATTTCCCTTCAGTAGGGTAGCAAGGTACAAAGCAATGCTCCTGAAATTAACATAAAACTTATTCACACAAAAGATACAAACACACCTTAGCAGTGCTCATCCAGTCGTATGTGGGTCATCCCTAGTCATTAACCCATCTTTGTGATAGAAGTTGGTTCATCGTACCAAAACATTTTACACTTTGATTTCTCTTCCAATCTTAATTACATTTTCCATACACACTTGCTGGTCAAGGGAGCACACTAAAGATGAGAACCTTTAAAGCACAAATCAGACTGCTCCAACTTCCCCCATATGGACATGCCCTTGTTTTATTTCTCTTCTTGGTCAGTGTCCTTTTTTTGCACTTTTTAAAAAAATCCGATGACTCTTCCAAATGGGGCAAGTACACCACCATTTGTCTTGAGCTCCGTGCTGACTGTATTCAAATATTCCTCAGTGTTCTAACAATGTTCCAGTTACCTTGCTTAATATCATTTTCCCCAGAACATCCTGAACCATTTTCATTTTAAACTCTTATTTTGTGTTTAGTTCCACTTTCTATTGGGACAGAGTTACGCACTAGGTTGCTTGCCAAGATGTTCGGTTTTTTTCAAAATTTCTGCATTTTCAGTTAAAATTTCAGCCCAGGGAACTTTATGAGCAGCTGTAAATGCTCGATGGACACTGCTAAGTGTCCACAAGTACAGGTTAAGTAGGGCATACAAACAGAAAAAAAGGTCAGTGCCAGTTCACTCACTATCAGGAAATGTGTGAGTTCTAGCAAATCCCGTAGATTTCCATCAACAAACAGTGAAAAATAGAGGTACAAATGCTCTATATGGAAGAGCCCTTTGTCCAATTCCTTACGAGTTCTACTGAAATCAGTTTCCTGTTGAGCTTCTGTTACGTAGAAAGTCCCACCAGCTTAATAATTGGGGATTGCTTACACCAGTTTTTTTAAATAACGCAACCAGTGATCTGCATGGACAACCCTGCACATGAAAATCACAGGCAATGCAATCCATATTTTTACCTTAGTGCAACTTTCTGCTTAGCAAAAGCTCAAAACAGGACACTGACCCGAGAAACCAGATCGCAAGGAGTGGGGAGGGAGTTATTTCCCCATGTTCCTTCAGCAATTAAAATGAAATTGTGCCAGCTTCAGTCAGTCATGTTTGCCTTGTTGCCCGCTTGTGCTCTGGACAAGAAAAACAATGTAGATATTATGACTTCCTCAGAACAAATGCATGAATTGGAAAGACAATATTTTTTTGTAAAGACAATGAAAGCACATGTTATAGAACAGTATGACGAAGAACTTCTTGGGGACACAGAAAACCTGAAACTATACTGGGTTTAATAATAGCTGTTGGCTGTACTTAAAGTTACAGCTAACATTATACTGTGTATAATTTCAAAAATTGACAAAAGCTAAATGTAATCATTTACAACTGGACCGTCAAAAGCTATATTTTCTTGATCGCTTAATAACATTACAGGTGCTACCAAGCCTCTTTAAAATGTAGGGATTCTACTGATCACATAAATAAACAATTCTTCTCCTACCACTGCGAGATCTGTTTAGTAAACCTTCAAAGAATCTCCACAAGAGAAGATAATATGTCTTGTGAAAATAATTGTGTTCCCCTCGAAATTTTCCACACTAGGCAACTGCTACCTGATATAGACTGTACTCCAATCTCCAGAGAAAGCTGAGAAGTCAGTTGCAAAATAAGAGATACCAGAGTGGCTGTTAAAAATAAATATTTGCTGAAAAATGGGTTAGTTTCAAGGGTCCGTATCCAGCCTGCAAAAATGGGAGCTACCTTCTAACACTTCTTTGGGGAACTAATAAATTTCTGAGGAATGTCTGAAGGTGCCACGGCAGGCTGGCATTTGGTTTGCTTAATGATTTACAGTGTAGCAGAGGGCATTTATTCTCAACTTTATACTTTCTTGGACGCTTTAAAAAGTCAGGAACTACTTTGTCTTGTCTTTTTACAAAATGCAGCATTGCTCACAAAAGGATAAGGTATTTTGTGGCTTTTTCATGAAAAGTGGGGAGGGAGGGAAATTGCTGCACAAAGCAAACTTTCACAAATAACAAAAAATGATACAGATTGCACAAAATGATGATAGCTACTCTTCTGTACCCCAGATTTTTGAAGATTACAGGTACTAGAGGAGTGATTTGCATATTTCTGAACAACCAGACAGCTATTCTATGCTTGTGTGCATGCGTGTGCACTTTGCCTTTCAAAGGGAAAGGACACAGTTTTGTGCAAAGGCAAATTTATGCAAATTATGAAGTTCAAAAATGAGGAAAAAATAGAGCTCCTTGTCTCGCCTTTGCTGGAGATGCAGAGTTTTGCACAGCTTGAAAATTCCTCCTTGTGGCATCTCATCATGTTGAGACAACCTAAATCATTAAGAAACGAAGAATTTGCTCTTACTGTATAGCCTCCTAGGTTGGCAGCAACATTTCCTTGAGTTTCCACGAAAGGATACTACATCATGACCAGAATGCAGCTTCCTTGGCCAGCATGTTTCTTGGACAAATTCATGTTACAATGCCCTTCCAGGGGCTTTCAAAGAAGTGCCATTGCCAGAATGAAATAAAGAAGGAAAACTCTCATACAGCTCCTCAGTAACAACTCCCTAACCCTCTGAAAAATGCTGAGAATTTAAAAACACCAAGCCCTAAATCACTAGCAAAAAATATGTGCAAATGTGCAGATCGATCCGACTCCATCTTAATTTTTTTTACTGTCCCAAGACCATGTATGATGTATTTGACTGTGTGAATATTCCCTGAATATGGGAAACCCAGTTTATAGCATACAATTTAGTACACACCACTTATCTTAGTAGGACTCACTTCAACATACACATGCGTAAGACTATAATATCAACTATGATACTCATTACTTTCCTTGAGGGATAAAATGGCAGGTGCAGACGGAGCCAACCTGAAACCATGATGTGTTGGGGCTTCAGTCTTTTTGCCCTTTCAATGGTGCTGATCAGAAACCTCCCCGTCTCCGACACACAAAATTTCAAGTCTAAACAGCAGAAGCAGGGGCACACACTTGATCATTAGAAAGAGCAAGGCTTTAAAACCTGCCTCCTCTTGTATCATGATCAGAATTCAGTTCATACACCAATTCCAAATATCCGGAATTTAAAAATATACAAGGACCTGCAGTTTGTCGCTCTCAGCCTAACTTGCTTCAATGTGGCTGCTACAAGCCCATGATCCAGTTCTGAGTACACTAGGAGAAGGCCTGCATGCGTAAGATAAGCGAACTGGATTTATACCAACTATATGCAAGAGCCAGGTGATGTCCTGATACTTGCTATAAGCTATTAGCATGGACATACTGCAGGACAGATATGAATGTGTTTACCACTTTTTATAGAACACAGCCCAAAAGTCTTCATACACCTATAAATATATAATGCTTTTGCACACACTGTGAAAAGCTCATTGTCATGACTTCTTCTTCTGCATACTATAACCTGGACTAAATATACCGGATAGCTGAAGTCCACACAAAAAATCACATTCCCTGTGTCTAATAATGACTAATATTATTTATTTTGCAAAACAATGTAGTAAAGCATTCATCGCAGTTTTTTCTTCCAGAAACCTTACAGATGAGTGGCACACCCCCAGTTTTGTGCTAGAAGGAACCATTTAGTGCATAGTTACCCAAGAAGATTCAGCAATTTCTGTGAAATGCGCTAGGAGCCTGTCACTTCTCTGAAAATCATCCAGAGAAGCAGAGCTCTTCCTCATGTGTAAGGCCTACCTATGAGCAGGAAACCATGAAAAACATTATGATAGACGCAGGCAGGGCTAAGCATGCTTCTCCAAGCTTTCTTACAGCACCAAGCTGCGGAATGACTGAAGAAACCTACCACCCTCAATCAGTCAGGTGGCCCACTGCACATGGAAACACAAGGCTAAACTACATGTTAAGCTCACTCTGTCCAGGTCAGTGCAAGTGTTTCCTTCAACCTGGTGAATAAACTAAATTATGACTCCAGCTCTCTAATACAAGTCGCCGTGTCTCTGCATTGTTTGGCCCACAGCCCCCCATCCAAACCCAAAAGAAATCATGTTTCAGGAACAGGCAATGTGATGGTGGGGGAGGGGAAACAGTCATAGAAAAATTAGCAAACCCTTTGTTGGGATTTTGGGATGGAAAATTCCAACTATGCTGCAAGGGATGGTGCTTGAGACTGCACCACCCAGCTGACTTTACAACCTAAGTCTGAACTCACCTCACACAGGCA